GTGGGTGGGATCTGGTTTTCTATCTTATTCTTAATTTGGGCCACCACATATGACATGGATCAATTTGCTGTCCAAATTTGAGGCTAACAGGCATGCCATCCTAAAACTGTGTCCTACCTATATAGATAACTATGGTCCATCTAAACTAATCACCCACAACTTTATTAAAATTGTATCGTAAGTCAACATGACTAGAGAATAAATAATTAGTAAAAAAAACATTACATCCCAAGTTCCATTGGCACAGGCTAGTATAGAAAGGATGATTATGCCCCTATAAAGGTCTATGTCAACTTAAAAGCTACTAACTGATTTACATATAGGGAAATTAAGAATTTTTTGACAAAATAAATTAATCAGCCAACAGTACTTAGCTCATTCGCTTGTCTTTATTGCACATGATAATATATTAGTCATGTTATGGTTGCCAGTTTTTAGATTGTATAACGTGGGATTGTTTCCTGTGTTTTTTAAGTATACAATGATGAAAATAAGATTCGAATTTAAGTCACCGGACATACTACTCTAACTCTCCATTAGATAGATCTTTGTGGTTTCTAAGGTTGTTTCCTTTAATTCCCTTCTTTGTAATATACTCCCGCCTTTGGTTTTTTATTCCTTGGAAAATAGAACTGATGCTAATCAAGTAATCTTATATTACAGTCAGGGTGTTGTAAACCTCCAACGGCTTGTGGATACAATTATGTGAACCCTATACTGTGGATAAATCCTGTGAATCCAATGGCAAAGCCAGATTGCTACTTGTGGAGCAATGAACAGAACCAGCTCTACTACAATTGCAATGCATGCAAGGCAGGTCTACTAAGGAACCTTAGAAAAGAGTGGAGGAATGCCAATATCATTTTGATTGTGACTGTTGTCCTCATCTCTGTCTATCTCATTGCATGCAGTGCGTTCAAAAATGCTCAAACAGAAGACCTCTTCCACCGTTACAAAAGGGGTTGGATTTGATCCTTTTTCCTTCATTCAAGGATTTTTTAAAATGGTCTCCCTCACTCTTTTTCTTCTTTTAAAATTGATCTGCATAATTTCTTATCCATGTAACAATCTTTTTTCACTAATGTATATATATTCCTTTATGGTTATGAGAAGTGATGCAAGAAGAAATCTTCCAACCGCAAACTAGTCAGAACATAATCCTAATTCTAACTTTCTTCGAAATATATTATAATTCTTCTATAGCAAATTGTCCATGGTTTCTTGTAATTTTATATTTATATTTTAAAATAAACGTGGGTACTTAATGCTGGTAAAACTAAGAAGTTAAACATATGTTGAACCCTAAACCCTAAACCCTAAACAACCTAATTAAAGAGTCTCACAACACAAAGTTGTTCCTCCCAAGTATCACATGTACAACATTCAACATTTAAAACAGATGATGAATAAATGCTAGAATGTTTGTCAGAAAATTAAATCAAGCCAACAATTTTAAATTGCTGCAACAGGAACTTTTAATTTTGACTATTCAAAAAGGAAAAACAAAGTGACTGCAAGATTAAAGCATTGAGGACAGATAGAGGTCAAGAATACCTTGCCTGTGCAGATTTCTTTGACCACCATGGAATTCAGTATCAAATGACAACTAGATACACTCCTCAACAAAATAGAGTAGCAGAAAGGAAGAACAGAACAATCATGGATATGGTGAGATGCATGCTAAAGGCAAAACAAATGCCTAGAGAATTTTGGGCAGAAGCAGTTTCTACTGCTGTGTATATTTTGAATAGGTGTCCAACAAAGAGTGTTTGTGATAAAACACCAGAAGAAGCTTGGAGTGGAAGGAAGCCCTCAATTCGGCATCTCAGAATTTTTGGGTGTATGCGATATGCTCATGTACCAGATCAACTCAGAAAGAAGCTTAATGACAAAGGAGAGAAGTGCATCTTCATTGGTTACAGCACCAACTCAAAGGCGTATAAGCTTTACAATCCACTGACAAAGAAGGTTATTATCAATAGAGATGTGACCTTTGATGAAGAAGGAATGTGGAATTGGTCTTTCAAAGCCCAAAAGGAGCCTGCAGTAAACCCAGAACACTATGAAGAGGAGAATGGACATGTAGATCCAACACCTGATGAACCAGAAACATCAAGCAGACCACAAAGGCAAAGGAGACTACCAGCCAGATTGGAGGATTATGTTGTGGGTAATGATAAAGACCCATCTGATGAAGAAATTATCAATTTTGCCTTATTTGCATGTTGTGAGCCTGTAACTTTTGAAGAAGCTTCAAATAATCAACATTGGAGAAAAGCAATGGATGAAGAAATTCATGCCATTGAATTGAGTCCCACGACATAGAAATCATGACAGTTGCAGAATTGCAAGGTAGCATTGAAAGCCATGTGAGCAGAATCTTGGAGAAAACTGAGAAAATAAATGAAGAAGCATTGAAAAGCCAGGTGAATTTTACCAACATAGCAGAACCCAGTCGAAATGAAGACAGTAGAGGTCGTGAAGGAGGAAATATAAATTTCAAAGGAAGAGGTCGTGGTAGTTTCAGAGGAAGAGGTCGTTGTAATTTTAATCAACAATGGAGAGACAACAATTTCAGGCCACCTAATCAAGGAAGAGGTGGATACAATGTTAGATCTACCAACCGTGGAAGAGGAAGAGGCAGTTTCACCAACCAGGAGAGGACAAATTTCAATTGCTATCACTGTGGAAAGTTCGGGCACAGAGCTGCAGATTGTAGATTCAAACAACAAGCAAATATAGCAGAAAATCAATATGAGCAAACTGGTGAGATTTCTGATAATCCACAAACCTTACTTCTAGCAACAAATAATTTTTCAGGCAATGAAGCTATTTGGTACCTAGATACTGGCTGCAGCAACCACATGTGTGGGAAAAAGGAGTTATTTTCCTCACTAGATGAAACAGTAAAATCTACTGTAAAATTTGGAAATAACTCAAATATTCCGATTTTGGGAAAAGGTCAAGTTGCAATTAGATTGAAGGACGGTACTCAAAATTTCATCTCTGATGTTTTCTATGCTCCTGGTCTTCACCATAACCTGTTGAGCTTGGGACAATTATCAGAAAAAGGTTACAACATACAGATTCATGATGGCTACTGTATGTTGATTGACAAAAATAGGAGATTGATAGCCAAGGTAAAAATGTCTCCTAATCGACTATTTCCTTTGAATGTTCAATACGATAAAATTCCTTGCTTGAGCTCCATTATACAAAATGATGATTGGCTGTGGCATATGCGCTTTGGACATTATCACTTTTCTGGATTAAATTTTTTATCTAGAAAAGAGTATGTATCTGGTTTGCCTGTTATAAACATTCCTAAAGGTATATGTGAGACTTGTGAAATTGGAAAGAAACACAGAGAATCCTTTCCAACTGGAAAGTCCTGGAGAGCAAGAAAGCCATTAGAGATTGTGCATTCAGATTTATGCATGGTTGAGATACCATCACATGGCGGTAGCAGGTATTTCATTACTTTTATTGATGACTTTAGCAGAAAATCTTGGGTGTATTTTTTGAAACAGAAATCAGAAGCTTGTGATGCCTTTAAGTCATTTAAGGCATTAGTGGAGAAACAAAGTAGCTGCAAGATTAAAGCATTGAGGACAGATAGAGGTCAAGAATACCTTGCCTGTGCAGATTTCATTGACCATCATGGAATTCAACATCAAATGACAACTAGATACACTCCTCAACAAAATGGAGTAGCAGAAAGGAAGAACAGAACAATCATGGATATGGTGAGATGCATGCTAAAGGCAAAACAAATGCCTAGAGAATTCTGGGCAGAAGCAGTTTCTACTGCTGTGTATATTTTGAACAGGTGTCCAACAAAGAGTGTTTGTGATAAAACACCAGAAGAAGCTTGGAGTGGAAGGAAGCCCTCAATTCGGCATCTCAGAATTTTTGGGTGTATGCGATATGCTCATGTACCAGATCAACTCAGAAAGAAGCTTAATGACAAAGGAGAGAAGTGCATCTTCATTGGTTACAGCACCAACTCAAAGGCGTATAAGCTTTACAATCCACTGACAAAGAAGGTTATTATCAATAGAGATGTGACCTTTGATGAAGAAGGAATGTGGAATGCTATTATTATTGTTATTATTATTGTTAATATTGTTATTATTTTTATTGTTATTATTGTTATTATTATTGTTATTATTGTTATTTTTATTATTAATATTGTTCTTTGTAGAATTATAATTGGTTCTTCGAAATATATTATAATTCTTCTATAGCAAATTGTCCATGGTTTCTTGTAATTTTATATTTATATTTTAAAATAAACGTGGGTACTTACTGCTGGTAAAACTAAGAAGTTAAACATATGTTGAACCTACAGTCGAATTGTTTGGACAATATCCAAGTTTGATTCTTAACAAAAACAATCTTTAATTCGACTTTATTTACCTTTCAATCAAATCAAATTAAATTAGTTTAGGGTGAAGCTTTAAAATATTGGTGTAAGATTAAAAAAAATGTTGGCAATGGTATCCACAATCTTGACATGTATACCACTTTAGTTGTATCTTAAACGCCTGATCGAGTAAAACGAAAAGGCAACCGACCATAAAGAAAAGAGGGCGTTTTAGAATTTTAATGTTTCGCTGATCTCCCATAAACCAAAAGATACATCTCCCCAGACTAGCAACTTTTTATGCATGATTGTATAGTACAAGAAACAAAAAGCTCAAAAGGATATACTAAAATAATTTAATAAATTTTATTGAAAAACACTCAAGTCCTACATCGACTAGAAATTAGACAATTAAATAATATATAAGTGAAAAGTAACTCTCAACTTACAAGCCGGTTTTGTAGGATTGAGCTAGACTTAAATTCACTATTCTAAAATGGTATCAAAACCATTTAGATCCACTTTAAAATGGGTTACCCACCATTGATTCATGTGTCATGAGCATGAGGGAGTATATTGAGAAAAATCTAAATCTTGATAATCCTAAATCATTAAAAAAGGCCACGTACCAAGATTAGACAATTAAATAATATATAAATAAAAAGAAATCCGGGTTGAATTAGGCTTAAATCTTCCTATATTCTAAGAGATTTCGAGTACATTTCCATGAAGGACCTCGCTCACTAGAAACATTGCTATCAAAAAGATTAACGAGCAAATATGATTACATCAACGAATTCTCCCTTCAGATTCACTGCTAATAAGTGATAAGTAAATATATGGCTACGAACTCTCATTTCGTATTTCTCTCAAAGCAGTAGAGAGCTTCCTAGAGTACACAATGTACATAGGATCTGAGCGTCCAGGATTAGGAGATATGTCGACAGCCTACAGAAAAATGTAAACGGCATGAAGCCTCAGCAATAACACTACATATTATATGAATCATAATTATTTCGTCACCTTGGTCAAATTTAAAAACTTCCAATTTATATATAGAGATAAGCAGCGGTGAAAGAAATTACCCTTCATCATTGGATGAAATGAAACCATACTTATAGTATGTTCATAAACTGATCTTTGACAATATATTTAGTTATGGGGGGAAAATTGTTGGATAATCTTAAATTTCTAGAGATATCCGAGATATCATCTACACACTTCACATCATGCTTCTCACAACTCACAATATTATCATCATGCACTTCACAACTTTCAACTATATCATCTCATCATATTTCACAACATATAAATGTCCACACATAACATATAGCAACTTTAACAACATATCACATATTCAACACATTTCTATTTGGCACAACTACTCATTTAGTTTACAACACTATACTCAACATGCATCTCTTCATTTCACTTTCTACTCATCATACATCTCAATGTAATTATACAACTCCATACAACTCAAAAATAACCTCAAATTCAACATGAAATCAACCATGCATCAAAATCATCAAAAACCCCATTTTTCCCAAAACCCCAAAAAATGAGAAAGTCCTCAAATCAATCAATGATTCTCAACATTCTTACTCCATATGAGTTCCTAAACTCACATATAACCAAACAACATACAATCTAGCTTCCCTTACCTGAAGATTGGCTCTAAAAGCCAAGAATCTGAGAAGAAGAAGAAGAAGAAGAAGAAGGAGAAGAAGAAGAAATATCCTCCAAAGCTTGACTCTTGAACTTCAATCCTCCAAAAACAAACTTTCTAGTCTAGAGTTCTTCTATCTAGAAATTCTTTCTAAAACCTCTCTTTCTCCTCAACTGCACACAAGTCCTATTTATAGAAGTCTGAAGTGGCCAGAACGACCCGTTTCGAATCTAGAACGACCCGTTCTAGGCTCCTTCATCGTGTGTAAAATTCACATGCAGAATGGCCCGTTCTAAAACTAGAACTGCTCGTTCTGGCACGTTTAGAACGACCCGTTCTTAAACTAGAACGGGTCGTTCTAGAGTTGAATTTAACTCACAATGACTATTTTGGAACGACCCATTCCAGTCTAAGATTCATAGGCCTATTTAGTAGTTTGGAATGGCCTGTTTCAGTTTAGGAACGGCCCGTTCTGAGCTACTAAATTACTCACACTGGACTTTGGGCCTTCTGAAACTTGCTACGTTACAATAATCAAAATTTATAACAAATTATATATATAAGTAAGCATTATGCTTAAATAATTAAATTATATTCAAAATTTGTATAAATAAATACTTTTAAACATAGAAATTATATTTTAGTGATATATAATTTATATTATAGTATAATATTATTTTTATTTATTTATAATTTATTTTATGAATATGATAAATAAAAATCAAATTAAATAAG